ACAGCTGATCAACCCTCACACAGCTTTGATCCAGCCCTCAAGCTGATCAACCTCACACAGCTGATCACCCTCACACAGCTGATCAACCCTCACACAGCTGATCAACCTCACACAGCTGATCAACCTCACACAGCTGATCACCCTCACACAGCTGATCAACCCTCACACAGCTGATCAACCTCACCTGGCAGTCAACCTCACACAGCTGATCAACCCTCCACAGCTGATCAACCCTCACAGCGTCAACCCACACAGCTGATCAACCACACAGCTGATCAACCTCACAGCTGATCAACCCTGACACAGCGTGATCGACCTGAAGGTTTATGGTAGGAGCTGACGTCACTGAGAGAATGTAATAAGCACGAAGCAGACGATAAAAACAGTAGATGGGGAGTGTGTGGCTGACGTCATAGCAGTAGTGACGTCACAGAGTAAACACCACAAGAGGAGGAGGAGGACAAACACAGCAGTAATGACTGGTATTCCCGACTATATCATCTGTAACACTAGCGTAGCTGAGGGCAGGGGCAGGGGGGGGGGGCAGGGTGGGGCAGTCCGCCCCAGGCGGCACTTTTAGCTGCTCTTCACCCATATCTGCAGCTTTCTTGGCCTGTGGGGACCCGTCCTTCTAGAAATTAACGACACACAGACTTACCTCCAACCAAGGGCTTGAACATACAACAATGTGATATAAAACATTTCTAGTTGAAAACAGGGACAAGCTAGTGAGTAATGGAGTTAACTATGCCAAAGAATTTGCAATGATCTGGGGATAGTCATGGAGCGTCAGCGTCGACCCAAGAAGAAACAAATGTTTGGTGAAGGATCACGAGATGCTGAATTGCCATACGACATTGAATTGAGGAGAGAAATGTTTTCTTCGCTGGACAGAGTGATCCAGAAATAACTTTGAGATTTCAACAGCTTCATGAACTTGCTGAGAAATATGCCTTCCTTACCCCATTGAATCTTTTGGATGATAAATATGAGTGTCAAATAGATCACGATCACGACGACATTGATAAAGAGGTTCCTCGTTGAGAGAAAAAAGACTTCAGCATTTTGTTGCTGTTGCTGCTATAACTATAAAGACAGAATACAGACGTGGAAAGAAGGCTTGAACTTTTGCAGTTTATTAAAGTATAACCTTGGGAACTCGGTTCCAAATATAAGTAATAATGCTGAGGATTTTCTCACAATTGCTGTTAGTGTTGTTACCTGAGAGGAGTTTTCGAAACTAAAACTGATCAAGAATTACTTAAGATCTACTATTAGCATGCGGTTGAGAAATCTTGCCATACTGTCTATAGAGCGACAATTGACATGAAATAGTTTTGACAATGTCACTGAAGAATTTGCCAACAAAAACAAGAAAAGTTACTTTGTAGAAAGTTGTAGTTTTCATTTCAGAAATAAAGATGGTCTAAATTTTTACTTTTTCTTTTCCTATCCTATATGTCGTTTTGTTTTTGTTTAACTGTTACTTATAAAGTTTAAGTATGTTGGTGTGTATTTAAAGCATACTATATTTGAGTATGTGAAAGTACAGTAATATTATAATGATACATAAACTATTTAATATATATATATATATATATATATATATATATATATATATATATATATATATATATATATATATATATAGTAGAGTCACTGTGCAATATGTATTTGTAGTGGGGCACGGTGAGGGGGTGCAAACTCAAGGGCCGCGCCGGGCCACACACACACTAGCTACGCCACTGATCTGTATTACCATTATATATTTCCTAGTGCGCTGGTGCCTGTTTATCTCTCTCTCTCTACACACACACACACACAGTAATAGGAGACGTCGCCACCTGGGTAGTATGTGGGTCCCCCTCCAGTCACTGGCATCGAGGAAAATGGACGTATGTGGAAGACAAATATAGAGATAATGGAAGAGACAAAATGGGATAAAGATAAACAATGATATATAACAGGAGAGAATATGAAATAATTGACGGAGAGGAATAATTTGAGAAAAGTATTACCTGAATATTAGACACCCCAGCTTATTTCACCTGAACATAACCATCCTACATCTAATCTAATCTAACCTAACCTAATCTAACCTAAGCCTCCTAATTAGCGTTAAGGTGTTTAATCATCAGGTAAAATAAGCTGGGTGGATTCTAGTCTTCATGAGATTCACTACAGTATTTTTAATTAGTAGGTTACTACATCTAAAACACATATAAATTCACGACCGATAAATACTCATTCTAAATAAAAAATAAATAAAATCATTAATAATCCGGTAAGTTTAACTCAGCCCCCCCAGCTGTATACACTCCGGGACATCTTGTTTATAACACCGTAAATTAGTCTCGCCGTCTCTTGCCTTTGTTTACATGTTAGCAACTTTTTTTCCCGCGAAAGGTCCACGTGTTTACAGGCACATGATATTTTGGCGCCAACAGCTATCAACATAATTTACCAAAACAAATGAAAGTGACTCGCAGGGTTGGCTTTATTAAAATCAAACGATTTTAATGAAGTAATTTTAATCTGAAAATCTCTAATAACATACAACACAGGAGCAGTTCAGGATTTGTTCCTCTTGAGACATGACGTGTACTGGACCAGGGCCCAGAGCCTTATCATTCAGTGAGGTATATCAGCTTGGTAAATTTACCTATACTGTATGAACAAAATGTAATATTTATTTTTTATATAAATATAGAAGCATTTATTCCTAATTCTGGAAATCATAAGTATTATTTTCTTATCAATATATTATGTTCATACAGAAACAGTATAACTAATTTGATTCAATGTGCAGTATTTCATAATCATGTTATATGTAGGATCTCAGTACATTTTTTCAACAATGATGTTTATTATTTTCAAAAAGATCATGTTGCTTTTATTTTAGGTAAATTATTTTCAGTAACAGTTCGCATAGTTAAAAGAAAATTGATTAAATTTCATTATAATAAAAATAATTCAATAAATTATAAGTTTTTCAATCAAGTGAATAATAACAACTCATAAAAATATTTCAGCCAATTTATATCCACAGTAAAAAGAACTAAGGTAAATTTCATATATAATACACGTATAAGATAATGGCTTTAAATATACACACAGAAAAAGGCCTGAATTATTGTATAAAAGAATGAAATTTGAATAATTGGGTAAAAAATAGAACAAAATAAAAATCATTTATATTAAAAATCTGATTTAATAAAAAAATCGATTATTTTTATTTTTATTAAAAACAATTCTTCCCAACGCTGAGAGAGAGAGAGTGACAGGTCGTAAACGTTCACAGGCGTATCAAGAGTGTTTACAAGGTGTCAGTGATAACGTGTTTGTGATATATGACCTCTGTTTATTGTTGCACGTCAGAGGAGATTTATTTGAGTATCTCACATGCAGGCCGTCTCTCGGGTATGGCAACCGGTGTGACCGCCCCGGGCCCCGCGCTAGTCAGGCCCTTACCTCACCCAACACCAGAATTAGTGACATCATTAAGCTGACCCCGCCTTACCAGTTCAGGAGACCACCTGAAGGATTAGTGACCAGCACAGTTAGGCAATGCATCTGCTGACATGAGGTCAAAGTAGATTAAGCCACCCTATCTTACCACCCAGACTGAGAACAATGTCATTCTTTACTGTGCTCTCTATAGAAGAGGAGCGAGGACGTTGACAGCGGTCACCTGTCAGTGTTGTCCAAACTCTGAATCTCCAGTTGTCCGTGATTAGTGTTTTGTGAAATTGTTGATATACATTATTTTACTATCGTACACAGCCCTCGTGTTTTATTATACCAGCCAGCAGAGATGGAGAGAGATACGTGAAATACATCTCGGGTGCAGAAAGGAAGAAGAAAATCGAATGTCAATGAAAGGTTCCTAGAAAAATGTGTGTTTTCAAAAAACAACAGAAACTAGTGTAAAGGACCTGAGCGGCTGTGATGGTGATAGTGTGGGTCATATTCAAGCTGAGGAAGAGGAGAGTACTCAACAAAATACTAAGGCTTTTAAAATGGACAGCTCTTCCTACGCTAACGGCCATGCTGCAGAAGATCTCAGTATGTGATCCAGCCAAATGACCACATTTACTGCACACTACGACAATTGATATTTTGGTAGAAAAGGGACCTGTTAAGGTGTCTCGTGAAAATTATGTTTCCAAAAACTGGTGACAATCGACACTTTTCAGAAGATTTTTACTTGCGAAAGTTGCCAAATGGGGAAATATATGAAAGATATTATAACATAGCAAATTACATAACACTTGGCATAGTAATAGTATGATTAGAATGTAATATGTATATTACAGTATTGTATGTATGTAACTATAAAAATTTATATATATATATATATATATATATATATATATATATATATATATATATATATATATATATTAAATGTGTGTGTGTAAGATAACGTTATCTACATTTCCACCTGAAGGACAGAGTCTTACACGAAAGATAAAACACGATGACTCGACTCTTGGCCGACCTCACCCAAGATAGGCAGGGAGTACACCTTCAGGAAACACCCTTGAGAGAAATTAGCTCCAAGCGTTGTTAAGTTGTGGGCATACCTCACAACCCCTCACCTCACAACAACTCTCATAAATAGATGTACTGTGTTTGTACTATAAATTTGATTGTCAAGATTGACCAAAGTCGTACACGGAGGAACTAAAGGAGGGAGTTTAGGCTAGGTTAGGTTAGGTCAGTAAAGGTGAGGTGGGTTTAAGTTTGGGTGCGACAGTTGGTGCTCGACTGGGATGGTCTGGGTTAGGTTAGGTCAGGTTTAAGTAAAGTAAAGTGTATATTTTGTTCCATAACTCGGTCGTCGGTAGCGCGAGGATTCCTGGGAGGCATAATGATAGTCACTATCAGATACCGGCGAGTCGTGGGACCCGCTGATTACACACCCACGGAAACTCGCGCAGTCACAGATTAACTTCAGTTCGGATGTGTCGGCCCTGGGACCCCGCGGTGTTGTGGTGTGGTGACGAGTAGACTGAATTATCTGAGTTATCACTGAGGTTGTGTAACAGAGGAGAGAAATATAACGTCGACGGTGAGACACTAATAGACAGTAAGACGGTGGAGGAACGTCTCGCTAAAGGGTGTTATCGTACATCAGACCATAAATTACTTTACCTCTTGGTCAATGGATTTCAGAATGAACACTACACCTCCTGTCGTCTCGAGTGTTGATAAGCGTGATTTTGACGTAATATTTCGAAACACAGGATTACACAGAAAAGGAAATTGCATTATGACAGTAACAGGAATAGCGTCACTGGTAGCTCCACATATCCCATTACAATGAGAGCACAGACAGACAGGAGCTTTGTACGGAATTTTCTCCAGTTTGTCATATTGTTCGACACCGAAGTGGTAAAAGTAATTTATGGTCTGACTGTACAATGTCAAACAAATGTAGTGCGTGCTCGCAGTTAACAGTATACACAAATTAAGAGTATACAGAACACAATAACATACACAGGTGGAAATAGAAATCTGTAACCCGGTGTTAATAGTGAGGATATATTCTGCACTCGACGTCAACAGAACATCTTACGGTGGACCAAGAGAGTGTAAATACGGCAGATAACAAGAGTAACATCCACCAAGACATTGCAGAGCCTTCCGGGGTGATACAGTGACGGCCACGACCATAAACATTAAGTCGGGGGTGATCCTGCGGTGCAGGACATGACGGGGTGCCCAATAAACTAGCCTCCCTGGGGTAAATCTGGCAAATCTATCGTCAGTTTCCGGATCCAAAAGATTCTGTAACATCGTTGTATCTCTTAACTGGTACATGGTGGATATAAATAATTATATAGTTACCGTGTCACTTTGTTCCCTAACTAGTGTCACGTAAACATATCTAGTTAAGGTAGAGTTTCAGTGTAATTTTGTCTCTTAACTGGTACTAAGTGAACGTATCTAGTTAAGGTAGAGTCTCAGTGTAATTTTGTCTCTTAACTGGTACTAAGTGAACGTATCTAGTCAAGGTAGAGTCTCAGTATAATGTTGTTCTTACTGGTGCTAAGTGAACGCATTCAATCAAGGTAGAGTCTCTGTATAATGTTGTTCTTACTGGTGCTAAGTGAACGTATCTAGTTAAGGTAGAGTCTCAGTGTAATTTTGTCTCTTAACTGGTGCTAAGTGAACGTATCTAATCAAGGTAGAGTCTCAGTATAATGTTGTCTCCTAACTGGTGCTAAGTGAACGTATCTAGTTAAGGTGGAGTCTCAGTGTAATGTTGTCTCCTAACTGGTGCTAAGATCCGTTCTCACATCTTTACTCGCGGGAAGGGTTAGATCACATGAAGAATCACCCTCTCCAACTTATTTCACCTCATGATAACAACACCCAAACGCTACCTGGAGGATTAAGTTAGGTTAAGTTAGGTTAGGTTAGGATAGCATCTAGGGTGTCTAATCTTCACGTGATCTCAAATATTAAACTCTGTGGAGGTACTCTATTTAGTTACGGTATTACATGAATTACTGTGACGTTGCGAGAATTTATTGCTTTATGGTCTACTGTCAACTCCTGAGGCCAAGATCATTGTAATCTAAGGCAATATAATCCTCTGCCCCAAGGTGTTACGAGGGATAGGGTGGATTATCGTGGTTGTTATTGTTGATGTTGTAGAAGTATGTCTGTCGGGGATTATCAAGGCTGTCAAGGGTGGATTATCAGCTGTCAGGTGGAATATCAAGGCTGCCAAGGGTGGATTATCAAGGCTGTCAATGGTGATTATCAAGGCTGGCGTGGATTATCAAGGCTGTCAGGGATGGATTATCAACTGTCAAGGGTGAATATCGCTGCCAAGGGTGATTATCAAGGCTGTCAATGGGATTATCAAGGCTGTAGGGGTGGATTATCAGGCTGTCGGGGATGGATTATCAAGGCTGTCAGGGTGGATTATCAAGACGTCAAGGTGGATTATCAAGACTGTCAAGGGTGGATTATCAAGACTGTCACGGTGGATTACAGCGCCGTCATGGTATTATCAAGGCTGTAAGGGTGGATTATCAAGATCACGGCGAGATTATCAAGGCTGTCAAGGGTGATTATCAAGCCCGTCAAGGGTGGATTATCAAGACGGCGTGGATGGTCAAGGCCAAGGGTGATTATCGGCGGTGATGGTACCGGCGGTGATTATCAACAGGGTGGATTATCAAGACTGTCGGGTGGATTATCAAGGCTGTCATTATCAGGCTGTCAAGGGTGGATTATCAAGACTGTCAAGGTGATTATCAAGGCTGTCAGCGGTGGATTATCAAGGCTGCCAAGGGTGGATTATCAAGACTGTCGGGTGTGATTATCAAGGCTGTCAAGGGTGATTATCAAGGCGGTCAAGGGTGAAATATCGAGGTTGTCATGGATTATCAAGGCTGTCAGGGGATGGATTATCAAGGCTGCTGGCGGTGGATTATCAAGACCGTCGGCGGTGGATTATCGGCTGCCGGGTGGGATTATCAAGGCTGTCAAGCGGTGATTATCAAGGCGGCTCAAAGGGGATTATCAAGGCGTCAAGGTGAAATATCGAGGTTGTCGCCAAGGATGGATATCAAGGCTGTCGAGGTGAAATATCAAGGCTGTCAAGGGTGATTATATTAAATTCACCTCGACACATCTGATAATTATCAAGGCTGTCAAGTGAAATATCAAGGCCAAGGTGTGGATTATTCACGTTATAAATGACAGCATCGTTAATAATGTTATCAATCATTGAGGTGTAGCTGTATGGACATAAAGTGTATAGCAATGTAGAGTATAGCAGTGATAGGTACAGAGCAGCATAGCAGCGTTACATTCCCCAAAATACAGAAAAGTATGTAATTAAAAATAGCAAATATACACATTATATAAACTGCCTTTATCTGCCTCAAGTCTCATACCATAAACAATAAAAATACCTAACAAGGGAGGGCTGGAGGGGAGGGAGGGGGGGGGAAGGGGAGGTAGGGAGGGGGGAAGGGAGGGGGGGATGAGAAGGAGGGGAGGGGGGGGATGAGGGAAGGGAGGGGAGGGGGGAAGGAGGGGAAGGGAGGTAGGGAGGGGGAAGGAGGAGGGAAGGAGGTAGGGGAGGGGGGGATGGAGGGAAGGGGAGGTAGGGAGGGGGATGGGAAGGGAGGTAGGGGAGGGGGAAGGAGGGAAGGAGGTAGGGAGGGGGAAGAGGGGAAGGGGAGGGGAGGGAAGGAGGGGAAGGGGAGGTAGGGGAGGAGGAGGGGGGAAGGGGGAGGTAGGGAGGGGGGGGATGGAGGGGAAGGGGAGGTAGGGGAAGGGGGAGGGGAGGGGAAGGAGGGGAAGGGAGGGAAGGGGGAAGGGAGGGGAAGGAGGTAGGGAGGGGGGGGATGGAGGGGAAGGGAGGTAGGGGAGGGATGAGGGGAAGGGGGAGGTAGGGAGGGGGGGAAGGAGGGGAAGGGGAGGTAGGGAGGGGGGGATGGAGGAAGGGGAGGTAGGGGAGGGGGGATGGAGGGGAAGGGAGGGGAAGGAGGAAGGAGGTAGGGAGGGGGAAGGAGGGAAGGGGAGGTAGGGGAGGGGGAAGAGGGGAAGGGAGGTAGGGAGGGGGGGAAGGAGGGAAGGGAGGGGAGGGGGGGGGGAAGGAGGGAAGGGGAGGGTAGGGAGGGGGGAAGGAGGGAGGGGGGAAGGAGGGGAAGGGGAGGTAGGGAGGGGAAGGGGAGGGGAAGGAGAGGGGAGGGGGGATGAGGGAAGGAGGTAGGGGTGGGGGAAGGAGGGGAAGGAGGTAGGGAGGGGAAGAGGAAGGAGGGAGGGGGGATGGAGGAAGGAAGGGGAGGGGATGAGGGGGAGGTAGGGGAAGGAGGGAAGGGAGGTGGGGAGGAAGGAGGGGAAGGGAGGTAGGGAGGGGGGGAAGGAGGGAAGGGATAGGGAGGGGGGGGAAGGAGGGGAAGGGGAGGTAGGGGAGGGGGGGGGAGAGGGGAAGGGGAGGTAGAGGGGGGAAGGAGGGGAAGGGAGGTAGGGGAGGGGGGGGGAAGGAGGGGAAGGGGAGGGGTAGGGGAGGGGGGGGGAAGGAGGGGAAGGGAGGGGTAGGGGAGGGGGGGATGGAGGGGAAGGGGGAGGTAGGGGAGGGGGGGAAGGAGGGGAAGGGGAGGTGGGGAGGGGGGGAAGGAGGGGGAAGAGGGAGGGGAGGGAGGGGGGGAGGAGGAAGGGAGGTAGGGGAGGGGGATGGAGGGGGAAGGGAGGGAGGGGTAGGGAGGGGGGAAGGAGGGGAAGGGAGGGGAGGGAGGGGGGGAAGGAGGGAAGGGAGGTAGGGAGGGGGGAAGGGAGGGAAGGGGAGGTAGGGAGGGGGGAAGGAGGGAAGGGGAGGTAGGGAGGGGGAAGGAGGGAAGGAGGTAGGGAGGGGGGGAAGGAGGGAAGGGAGGTAGGGAGGGGGGGGAAGGAGGGGAAGGGGGAGGAGGGGAGGAAGGGAGGGGGAAGGAGGGAAGGGAGGCGAGTTCCGAGTTCAACACGACGCAGGAAATACCATAGCGATAAGCTCTAGCAATCGTGAAGCCGTGTCCTAGTGAGTTAATTGAGGGGCCAGGGTGATGCTAGTCAATAGTGATGCTAGTCAATGGATAGTGATGCTAGTCGATAGATAGTGATGCTAGTCGATAGATAGTGATGCTAGTCGATAGATAGTGATGCTAGTCGATAGATAGTGATGCAAGTCGATAGATAGTGATGCTAGCCAATGGATAGTGATGATAGGCGAGAGATAATAGAGATAACGCAGCATCTCGCACACATAAACACCTCCTACCTCCCTCGTGAGTATCTTTACGGGTCACTGATAAGAGAGATCCAAGTCAGTGCAGAGATAAGGCTGAACATGGTTGAGATCACGTGAAGATTACCCCTCCTCCCACCCCGTTATTTCACCTGATGTTAAACAACCCTAACACTGACCTAACCTCACATTACATAATATAACCAAACTAATCTAATCTAATCAGACATAACCTAATTTAATGTAACCAAAATCAGACCTATCCTAATCAAACCCAACCAAATCAAACATATCCTAATCTAACCTAACCTAATCAGACATAACCCAATCAAACCTAACCTAATCAGACATAACCTAATCTAACCTAACCTAATCAGACATAACCTAATTCTAATAACCTAATCAGACATAACCCAATTTAATATAACCTAATCAGACATATCCTAATCTAACCTAATCAGACATAACCTAATCAAACCTAACCTAACCAGACATAACCCAATCTAACCCCAACCAATCAGATACCTAATTTAATATAACCTAATCAGACATATCCACCTAACCCAACCTAATCAGACATAACCCATCTAACCTAACCTAATCAGACATAACCTAATCTAACCTAACCTAATCAGACATAACCCATCTAACCCAACCAATCAGACATATCCTAATCCAACCTAAACCTAATCAGACATAACCTAATCAAACCAACCTAATCAGACATAACCTAATCTAACCTAACCTAATCAGACATAAACCTAATTTAATATAACCCAATCAGACATATCCAATCTAACCTAACCAATTTAATATAACCTAATCAGACATAACTAATCTAACCTAACCTAATCAGACATAACCTAATCTAACCTAACCCAATCAGACATATCCTAATCTAACCTAATCAGACATAACCTAATCAAACCCAACCTAATCAGACATAACCTAATCTAACCTAACCTAATCGACATATCCTAATCTAACCCAACCTAATCAGACATAACCTAATTTAATATAACCAAATCAGACATATCCTAATCTAACCTAACCTAATCAGACATAACCTAATCTAACCTAACCTAATCAGACATATCCTAATCTAACCTAACCTAATCAGACATATCCTAATCTAACCTAACCTAATCAGACATAACCTAATCTAACCTAACCTAATCAGACATAACCTAATCAAACCTAATCTAATCAGACATAACCTAACCTAACCTAACCTAACCTAATCAGACATAACCTAATCAAACCTAACCTAATCAGACATAACCTAATCTAACCTAACCTAATCAGACATAACCTAATCAAACCTAACCTAATCAGACATATCCTAATCTAACCTAACCGAATCAGATCAAACCTAAGTTAACCTAACCCCCTGCAGGAAAAAAATAGGGTGTTTATTCATCAGGTGAATTAAGTTGATCGTGGAGGGGGGGGGGCAGGTAATCCCTCATACTGAACGTTTATGAGAACCGTAGATCAGTTTACGAGATTCTCACATGTTCGTTGGTTCATTCGTTGGATCGCCCTGGTTATAATGAATGTGTGTGTGTGTGTGAATGTGTGTGTGTGTGTGTGAATGTGTGTGTGTGAATGTGTGTGTGTGTGTGTGTGTGTGTGTATGTGTGTGTGTACATCAGTATGAGTATTTGACTAATCAATGTGTGGATAAGAATGAGTGTATGACCAATCGCTTACTACGAATTACAATGGTTCTTAAGGAAGCCACAAATGGGTACAATTTTAACCAATATATCGTGTTAATGACTGATGTGACTGGTTATCTTACAACACTGACTGTTAACAGGGAGGAGGAGGATCGAGGGGGGTCTTGGGGATCGAAACCCCCGGTTTCCTGTGCTCGCCATGCTACCCCCTCACAATTCTTGGACAACCCCCCCCCCTTTTGAGATTCCTGGATCCGCCCCTGGTTAACACAATTCTCTGCCCATTTTTATACAGACAAACAACTCTTAACTCGAGTGACCAAGAAGAGAGATAAAAATAAATGTTACTCTACAGTATATTTCGGCTTCAGGAAATTGCAAAAAATTAAATCGGAAAAAAATAAAAAATAACAAAATATGTAAACAGGAAAATATAAACAAGACCCTCAACTACTAGAAATTCCGTATTTTCCTGTAGAGTAATTTCAGCGGATTTACAAGTCTACAGCTACAGTCTCACCAAAAATACCAACAGAGAAAACTCAGTATGACGTCCGAAGAAATCACAGAAAACGACTCCCTGAACTACGGCGATGTCGGGGTGACTGTAGTAAACCACCCACTTGTCTTGAGTTACTGCAGGGGAGTCAACTCCACCATAAAATACCACATAAATGGTAAGACCCGTTATTTTCAAGGTTAATTTAGGATTATAATCAATTAAAAAAAACAATTTGGAACGTTTTTTTAATGTGTAATTACGGGAATGTTTACTATAATACGCGTCTGTGTGTGTGGGGGGGAGGGAAATGGAGGAGGGAGGTATAAATCTATTGTAATGAGGATATCAGTGTATTGTAATAGGTAGATGAGTAGAGGAGTGTATGTGTTGTAATGGGGAGAGAGAGAGAGACGGGTCGTGTAAAAATACCTGTATACATTGGTATCAATTTCATCATTCCCCAGTACAGTACTACTTAAAAAACTGGACAAGTGAGAATACGTCCAATCAGTCCTTCAATACTCTATGTAAGGCGTTTACTTATAACACAAACACTATAACATTTACCTGTGAGTTACCAGAATTTATCATTAACTGACTAATTTACCTGTGTGTTACCAAAGTCTAATAATAACAGGTCAGATTAGTATTCAGTTACTTGTGTCAGTGTATGAGTGGTTTATAAATATTAGCATTGAGTTTAGAGGTTAGTGTTAATAGTGGTTAGTGTTAATAGTGGTTAGTGTTAATAGATTTTTTTTACGGAGATTAGCGCACCCGGGCACAGGTCACTGACCCACGTCGGGGCCTGGGGGGCGTAATAATAATAATAATAATAATAATAATAATAATAATAATAATAATAATAACAACAACAGCAAAAAGATAAAAAGTTAATGAAACTACTAAGAATATTTTTTCAAGTGTATTTCGTGGTGTTTTAATGGAATCTGACCTTCATTTCCGATAACAACAAAATTAATATAATACTAATACTTATAATACCAATAATAATAACACTACTAATAAATAATTAATAATAAAAATAAGATAAAGACTAATAAAATAAGAACCAATACTATATACCACTGTAATTTTTGATACCATAATACATCACACACTTATATACAAGATAAGGTGACTATTTTTGCTTTCTTTTCTTCTCTTCTCTCTTTTCACTCAATTAAACACACTGTAAATAATAACATGATGTTCCCTTTCCGCAGCAACCAACACGAAAGGTAAGACGGGCCTGGGTTCGTTTATTTTGTACTGCCTCTCCAACATTCTCCTCCCACCCTACCATACCTGTGTTGTGTTGTGAACCTGTGTTTAAATTTTAGAGAAACGTTTCAAAAAAGCACAAAGCAATATGGGATTTTTTTTTAATTGGATGGAATTTCTGGAGTCGTTTATAATCACTGAACATTTATAAATTCAATTCTATCTATCTATCTATCTATCGCTTTTGTATAGGATAGCTCGAGGGATATAAAAATCTTAAAGAAAGTAAAAGTAGGAAAATAATAAAGATATGTAAAAAGTAACAGATCAAGGAAGAAATATCTACATATACTTGTCCATGTCCTTAACTTACATATAACATGATAAAGGATTTCACTCTTAGTGTTCACATTGATTCATAACACTGATTATTATATAGTACTTTATTTACTAACCTGGTCAGAATGTGCGGTACAGTATAGGAATTCACTGATCATGTAATAAACCTGCATCTGGTAACCTCTTATCTAATCTTCATTAGTGCTATCTTACGCTTATCTAATTTAAGGTGAACTAAACTTATAAAACTTGATCCAATTTGAATTAAATTTCTCTACCCTGACCTCACCTATTTTTTATAACTTAACCTAACCTAATTTTCTCTAACCTAACCAAATCTAACCTTAACAAAATTGATCTAACTTAACCATACCTAACCTAACCTAACCAAATTTTATATAACCCAACCTACTTTTTCTTTCCTAACCTAACCTATCCTAACCAGACAAAATCATTAAACATTTGGCTAATTCATGACCTGAGCTAACTCAATCCATCATTCACTTCAACCAACTGTAACTTAATCACTGAATATTGAATTTTCCATAACCTAATCTAACCTAACCAAACCAAACTGATCAATGCCGTCTGAGAATTTCTATAACACACATGTCCCTCCCTGACTCCTTCCTCCCTGCCTATAAACCCTTATTAACAATACTGTTTACACGTCGTTGTTAAGTACCCGGAGACCGACACAAAATACGAGTACACATTCCAATATTCAGACTGTTTTTGTGTTTTGTGTTTTTGCCTTTGAATCTATTTTTCTCGATATGTTGATAAGTAGATAAATATACCAGTCTTTTATATGTCAGTGCAATATAAAACATTAAATAAGATGTATAAATAAGTAATTTAACATATATTTATACTACAACACTTCTTGGGTGAGATTTACATATAAACACACAAAGATTGCCAATACCGGCCCTATATTTACAAATAACACGTCAGAGAGTGTATTTTAAGGAGTGAATTTATCCATTATCTTAACTAAACAAAAAAGTGCAACACCAACTCGGCATTTCCCAATTCTGTGCTAACAAACATATCTTTACAAATCCTTACTTACCTCTAAAATCAATTAAATGGGTCCCATAAGGCTGTACAGTAGGTCCGCTTTGGGCACTGCAGATCCAACAGTGCCGACAAGGAGGCAGCATGTACGCCACTGCACTAGAGCGGCTTCACTTCCTCAACCGTAAAGTTCTCCATTCAAAGTTGGGTATAGACTAGTGATGCTCTGGTCGCGACCCACTGATCATCAACACAGGAGGCGGGTGGTGTACTGTATACACTCGGTCGCCGCAACCTTACCTGAAATCATTAATAATCATAAAAAAAACCTTCTTCACTTTATACCTTCTGCACACGTCTCCAACAACTGAATCATGCACACTGTGGTCTAGAATTTGTATCTCTCTCTCTCTCTCTCTCTCTCTCTCTCTCTCTCTCTCTCTACGTAAACATGTGATAACAACCTTCAGCATTTTTCAGTCAATCTACCAATGGCTTATTTGCCATCAAAACCACCATTAATGTCCCTTTCCAAGTTCCATAATTATCCGTCTATAATGTAAATCATTCGGATAGTCAATAATCTTTCCCTCACGTTGTACAATACATAGGACATTTAATTTGATCAGCCGCCTCCTCTCAACAGACATCTGCGATGGGCGTATGTCACTGCCGCTCATGATAGCCATGCTGGTGTTGGGCTTCGTCACTTTCTTCGTAAACCTGGGCGTCCTCATTCGCACCATCAAGATTCTGCGGTCAGGACACGACAATAAACCAGCGTTCTACTTTATAGGTAAGTCTCCCCTGCTATAATATTCAATGCCGTTTTCTGTGTACTATTCTACTAAAGTATACAATTAAACTTATCAACTTAAGACTCAAGTTAAGGGCAAGATGTGCACTAGAGTATTATACCCATGATCAATAGCAATTATACGTGTTTATAACCTTCAAATTTCCCTATAAACATCAACTCCGTTTTCCATCTTCCTATTGTCTCGCCGGACTCAGGAGTGGACAAAGTGGGCAGCTGCCCAGGTGCCTCCACAATCTGGGGGCCTCCACATATTACAATATTTTATTTATTTGTTTATTCATTTGGATTACTTTTATTTTCATTCTTTAAAATTCATGTTTATCTATTCCATCACGTAAAGCTATGCATTCTTGGACAGAACCATTATTTGAGTAGAGGTTTATCTCATTAATAATGCAAAGAATCATCTCTCTGTAATAACTAATAATATATTCTTTTCTGTAAAGTCTCTTGAAAATTTTTTACATGTGCGGTAGTAGCTATATCAGGGCTGGTCGACTTGAAACCACATGAATGACTCCAGTCATGTCTCACTTTTGTGTGTGTGTGTGTGTTGGGAATTTGTACACTATCAATAAATATACAGTTAATTAAAATTTTCTCAATGTTCTAATTTCCTCAATATAACTGCATATGGCTTCAAAATTCTCCAAAGAAGTGTTCAAATTTCAAAATTTTCCCGGGGCCTTACAGCGCCCCACGGGACTCCCAGATGTTTAGGCTCGCTTCACTCGCCACCCCACCCTCTTGGGTAGTTATAATGAGGGGGGCCTCCACAAAGAGGCTGCCCATGGGCCTCCACAGGTCTAAATCCGGCACTGGAGAGAGAGAGAGAGAGAGAGAGAGAGTAACACCATCACCCACTGTTACAGGTAATCTGGCCCTGAGTGACCTCGCCATCGGCCTCTACGTGATCATCGCCTTCCTCCTCCACGTGACAGACATGAGCGACCTATGGCAGCAGAGCACCTGCATGGTCCAGATTGGTCAGTATTTTTGTCTCATTGCCTCATTGGTCAGTATTTTTGTCTCATTGCCTCATTGGTTAGTATTTTTTATGTCTTATTTCCTCATTGGTTAGCATTTTTATGACCCCTTCCCTCGTTGGTCAGTATTTTCGTCACTGGTCAATATTTTCACGTAACCTTTTCTCATTGGTCAATATTATTACGCAAACCTTTTCCAATTGGTTACTATTGTTTTGTAGTAAAAATCCTTTAGTTTTCAAATAATATATTGTTGCATTTTAAATTACAAGTGTGTGTGTCCGTAAATATATCCTGACGGTGATTTATATATGTCCACGAATATATCCTGACGAATGATTCCTACTGACTATATCCTGATGAATGATTCCTACTGACTATATCCTGACGAATGATTCCTACTGACTATGTCCTGACGAATGATTCCTACTGACTATATCCTGATGAATGATTCCTACTGACTATATCCTGACGAATGATCCTCCTCCCTAGCGGTGTCAGTGACGGCGTGTCAGGAGACCATCTTCACCATCACGCTCATCGCCGTGGACAAGTACCTGTACATCTGCCACGGGTTAAGGTACAGCTTCCTCGTCACCTCCACCAGGGTGTACCTCGCTCTCGGCATCTCCTGGGTCTTCTCTCTCCTCATTGGTGGGTTACTACACGTCACTACACCAGCCTTATTAAAGAAAAATCCAATATGGTGGTAAAATTGTATTGAGACTCTACTGTAATGAGATGAATCATGGTCCTTGGTGGATGAGATTTGTAGTCTTATTGGTCCTGATTCCCATTCCAGTTGGCCCTGATTCCCATTCCAGTTGGCCCGGATTCCCATTCAAGATGGTCCTGGTTCCCATTCCAGTTAGCCCTGTTAGTTCCATTCCACTTGCTCACGATTCCCACACTAGTTTTTCTTGATTCCAGTTCCATTTTGTTTATTCCCGTTCAAGTTTGTTTTGGTTCCCATTCCAAATGACCTTGTTATCATTCTAGTTAACTTGATTCCCATTCCAGGGACGCTGCCGGCCATGGGAATGCACGGGACGTGGGAGGAGGCGTGTCACCGCTGTGTGTTTGCTCAGATTGTCTCCACCGACTTCACCATCATCTTCTTCATCACTTCTGTAAGTCACCATCACCTCTATAAGTCACGTCACCATCACCTCTATAAGTCACCATCACCTCTATAAGTCACCATCACCTCTATAAGTCACCATCACCTCTATAAGTCACCATCACCTCTATAAGTCACCATCACCTCTATAAGTCACCATCATCTCCATAAGACACCATCCTCACCATCAAGTCATTAAGTCACTATGCTCATTATCATAACCTCCTTAAGTCACCATCACCTCCCTAAGTCACCATCCTCACCATCACGTCAATAAGTCCCCACTAAGACTATAGTACTGGTTACTGAGAGTCTCCCATATAAGTTCCTCAATCAGTCAAGTCAGTCAGGGAGGAAAGGCAGGTTTAAATCTTACTAATACAACAATAACAATTTATTTACACGAAGATAAGAAGTAAATCAGATCAAATTAAGCCACTTTATAATTATTTTATTTTTTTTTTTGGCTTCCACAGATAAACAAAACAAAACAGTATAGCCAAGTCTGAGTGGTAACCCTTTAGTTACAGTTTTGCCAGATACAGGATATATGTTTCTACCCTCATTGTGTGTGTGTGTGTGTGTGTGTGAGTCAAACAGGACATTTCACACAGTCACTTATCAGAACAACACAAATGGATTAGTAATTTCCGGCTGTCAGAGATTAGCGACACATCTGACATCCTGACCATTACATATTTCCTGGAGGTGTGTTAAAAGCTAGGTTAGGTTAGGTTAGGCTAAGGTATGGTAGGGTTAGGTGAGGTTAGGGGTTGGTTAGGTAAGGTTAGGTTAGGGAAAGGCTCTGTTACCCCGTGTGAGTCCCCCCCAACCAGGGATTATCTTGGTGTGAAAATTAAGAGTGAACCTTGACACACACTTAAAGAGAGCTATCATAAGTCTCTCTCTCTCTCTTACAGTATCTCCGACATCAGAGTAATCTTTGGCCCTAGGTATATGAGGTGTGAATTTTTGTCACTAACAATTGCAACTTTGTATCTCTTATCTAAAGTTATATTGATATATCATCAGAGAGAGAGAGAGAGAGAGAGAGAGAGAGAGAGAGGGGTCTTAAGAATAACAGCTGTCATGTCGACCGCCCCTCAGTACCGATATTAAAGCAGAAAATAAAGTGAATTAACCATCATCAGCTTAGATTTAACAGCTCATACAGATACTTCCTCACACACAGACACTACACTCATACATACATACACGTTCACATACTGTAGAGTACACCAACCTAACAATGTATAACGAGTTTGTACTGTATATCATCTACACAGGTGGTGGTGCCGTTCGCCGTGGTGGTGACCCTGTACTCCATGCTGCTGGTGCTGGCCCTCAAGATGCACAAGGCTCGTTACGGAGGCTCCTATACGGGAGATGAGAAAGCCAGGTCCTCCAATTTTAGACTCTCCTTCATGTCCAAGAGGTCCAAGTCGTCTAAATCCTCTAACTCCTCCAAGGTCACCGTGTCCACGACCGTCAGCTCCTCCTCGGCGGTATCGCAGACGAAGGTGAACAGGAGGAAGGCGAGGAAAAAGGAAATGGCGGAGTACAAAGCCAAACTGCCAGGAATTACTGAGAAGGATGCGTCAGCCAAACTTATACGTTATAAGTTGCAGGACGACCAAGACCACGAGAAGAAACCGCCGACCCCAGATGGTGAGATTACTGAGAAGCTCATCCGAGACCAGCTGAGCCAGGAGGCTGGTGTGGCAGAAGACAGTCTCCAGACGCTGCCTCTCAGGGGGTCAACAACGTGTCAGGGTGACGACGATGCTGCCCCAGTGGAGTCTGAACACTCTTCTCGTCAGGATAATTTGGACAGTGACGGTGCGGAGGCGGATGACCAGGCCAGAGAGAAGGTTGAAGAGAGTAAATGTGGTGATGGTGAGGAAGACAGAAGCCATGTCTCCGTGATGGTCGATGAACGTGGTGTTGAGAGCCAAGGAAATAGCGACACTGTTAGTGGGACAGGTAATATGAATACGATTAGAGTATCAGGGGAGATTGTGTTACCGGGTAGAGAAGGCAACAACTCGACAATAATAAATAAGACCCAAGATGTTTCAGTGCGTGTAACTCACAAGAACAATGACATAGAAGATGCAGATGCCTATCAAGTGGTCAGACCCTACCAGGAGATCATCTACGACAGTGACGACGACTCTCCCGGGTCTCCAACTGACGAAGCTGTTGATCAGTGCGAAACTTTGCCGCCACCTACTACTAGGTCATGGCTCCCGACGAGGTACTTCAACCGCGTGGTGACAGACACCCGGGACAAGATGCTATTCCTGAAGAAATGTAGGGCGGTAAAGACGGTGTTCCTGATCATCGGGTCCTTTTCGGCAACGTACGTGCCCTTCGTGGTGGGCACACTGGTGTACCGCGTGGGGACGGAGAAGCGGGTGTGTCTGCTGCACGTGCTCAACACACTTCTTTTCTGCGCCGTCGTCGCTAACTCCCTCGCCAACCCACTTATATACGCATACGGCTACCGGGAGTTTCGCCTGAAGACCAAGAAGTTCAAGGGAATATTTGCCAGAGAGAAGCCACACAAATTTAAATGAAATATTGTGGTATCCAAAGGGCTTCCTGGAGTTGCTGAACCTGTTCAAGTAATTAAGTCGCAATTTTTACCTCCGCTCCACCTGTAGGAGGTTTTCCTCAGGGCACTCACCCGAGGGAGGCGCTGGTGGAGGTACTCGCACTTTGAACCAGCTGTCATGAGCTACTGCAGTATCCAGTGAACCCTATAAAGGTGGTGGTCCAGTACAGGTAGACCACAAAGTGTAATTTTACCTTCGATTTACCTGTTTGTCAAGGTTCCCGTCCTGGGATCAGAGGAGTGTCACGGCACTTGATGTGACAGTACAACACAAAACTAACTATATTGTGGGTGACGACGGGAGGCCGCCAATACACACGGCATACTGTACTGTATATTATTTTCTCTTTTAGTACAATTTTAATCCCCAATAATATATATATATATATATATATATATATATATATATATATATATATATATATATATATATATATATATATATATATATATATATATATATATATATATATATATATATATATATATATAATTTTTTTTTGGGGAATCCAAAGAACAAATTCTTACTTCTCACGTGTTAATAGTAATATGAATCTGAGAAGGTATATTATGGCTCTGATTGGTGAAGGTGTTACTGTAGGTAAACCGAGAGAGCAGCTGACTGGTGGAAGTTTGGTAACACCAACATGAAATAACTCCTCAGTGGTGACTTTCCAACACCAAGACGAATTAACTCCTAATTGGAAGGTTGTTTTGGCGCTACAAGACAGACAGTACACACGACTGGGGAAGGATGTGGTACCTTACAACCTTATAACAACTGAACGGAGGAAGTTAGCAAGAATATAAGACGACTATGATTGGTTGAGCTTTGATAAACAGACTGAAAAGGCTATGATTGGTTGAATCCGCGATAAACAAAATGAGAAGGTGATGATTGGTGGAGGTTTTAATAAACACAGACCGAGAGGGCTATGAGTGATGGAGACTACGGCACCAAGACTGAGGACGCGCCTGATTGGTGGTGGCTCCGGTATCCCAAGACCGAGACTCATTGGTGTAGGTTTTAACTGAACAAGAGTGAGGATATCTGTAATTGGAAGACGTGTTGGCGCATCTTCACTGAAAATGTTTTCGATTGGTGGAAGCTCTGGGAAAACAAGACTGGGGAGTCTCGTGATTGGTGGGGGCTCTGGGACACCAAGACTGAGGAAATTCGTGATTGGTCGAGGCTCTGGGACACCAAAACTGGGGAAGCTTTTGATTGGTCGAGGCTCTGGGACACCAAAACTGGGGAAGCTTTTGATTGGTCGAGGCTCTAAGGCACCAAAACTGAGGAAGCTTGTGATTGGTGGAGGTTCTAAGGCACCAAAACTGAGGAAGCTTGTGATTGGTGGAGGTTCCAGGTCATCATTACCTATCCAGATGTTTGTCAGGTGATCATTAAGGTGTATCGTGTCGTCAACAACAACAAACAAACGTAAACATACGATATTGTATTTCTATGTCCTTACCATACACAATTGAATCAGTCAAGTCTTTAAACAATGAATCAGTCAAGTCTTATAACACAATGAATCAGTCAAGTCTTATAACACAATGAATCAGTCAAGTCTACAACACAAGAATCAGTTAAGTCTACAACACAATGAATCAGTCAAGTCTTACAACACAATGAATCAGTGTTAAGTCTTACAACACAAAGAATCAGTCAAGTCTTACAACACAATGAATCAGTCAGTCTTACAACACAAAGAATCAGTCAAGTTATAACACAATGAATCAGTCAAGTCTTACAACACAATGAATCAGTCAAGTCTTATAACACAATGAATCAGTCAAGTCTTACAACACAATGAATCAGTCAAGTCTTACAACACAATGAATCAGTCAAGTCTTATAACACAATGAATCAGTCAAGTCTTATAACACAATGAATCAGTCAAGTCTTATAACACAATGAATCAGTCAAGTCTTATAACACAATGAATCAGTCAAGTCTTATAACACATGAATCAGTCAAGTCTTATAACACAATGAATCAGTCAATCAGTCAAGTCTTATAACACAATGAATCAGTCAAGTAACACAATGAATCAGTCAAGTCTTATAACACAATGAATCAGTCAAGTCTTACAACACAATGAATCAGTCAAGTCTTACAACACAATGAATCAGTCAAGTCTTATAACACAATGAATCAGTCAAGTCTTATAACACAATGAATCAGTCAAGTCTTACAACACAATGAATCAGTCAAGTCTTATAACACAATGAATCAGTCAAGTCTTACAACACAATGAATCAGTCAAGTCTTATAACACAATGAATCAGTCAAGTCTTATAACACAATGAATCAGTCAAGTCTTATAACACAATGAATCAGTCAAGTCTTATAACACAATGAATCAGTCAAGTCTTATAACACAATGAATCAGTCAAGTCTTATAACACAAAGAATCAGTTAAGTCTTATAACACAATGAATCAGTCAAGTCTTATAACACAAAGAATCAGTTAAGTCTTATGACACAATGAATCAGTCAAGTCTTATAACACAATGAATCAGTCAAGTCTTATAACACAATGAATCAGTCAAGTCTTATAACACAATGAATCAGTCAAGTCTTATAACACAATGAATCAGTTAAGTCTTATAACACAATGAATCAGTCAAGTCTTATAACACAAAGAATCAGTTAAGTCTTATGACACAACGAATCAGTCAAGTCTCATGACAACGAATCAGTCATGTTTTATGACACAAAGAATTAGTGAAGTCTTATAACAAAGAATCAGTCAAGTCTTACAACACAACGAATCAGTCAAGTCTTATGACACAACGAATCAGTCAAGTCTTATGACACAACGAATCAGTCAAGTCTCATGACAACGAATCAGTCATGTCTTATGACACAAAGAATTAGTGAAGTCTTATAACAAAGAATCAGTCAAGTCTTACAACACAACGAATCAGTCAAGTCTTATGACACAACGAATCAGTCAAGTCTTATGACACAACGAATCAGTCAAGTCTCATGACAACGAATCAGTCATGTCTTATGACACAAAGAATTAGTGAAGTCTTATAACAATAAATCAGTCAAGTCTTATAACACAATGAATTAGTCAAGTCTTATAACAAAGAATCAATCAAATCTTATGACAACGAATCAGTCAAGTCTTATGACACAAAGAATTAGTGAAGTCTTGCAACGCAATAAATCAGTCAAGTCTTATAACACAATGAATCAGTCAAGTCTTATGACACAATGAATCAGTCAAGTCTTATGACCTAACCTAACTAGGCACCCACTCACCCACCTTTCCATGCATCCATACACCAACTTAAGACATCCAAACACTCAGCAATCCATTCGTTCATCCATCTATCCAATCATTCACCCAAACACCCGCACTCACCCACCGCCAATCCTCAAATCTATTTATCCAAACACCCACCAATCAAGCCATCCACCCTACCACCAATTCATCCAAACACTCACCCATCCACACATCCACCCCCCCCCCCACCTACCTACCCACCCAATAAGTATAGCGTGACAGGTATGGTTCAGGTGGATGGAAACCTAACAATATGTGAGTCACGCTTTTTCTCTTGTTTATCTCTGCCATATGTGTAAGTGTGTGTGTGTGTGTGTGTGCTCTCTCTCTCTCTCTCTCTCTCTCTCCACGACTCTCCGGAGAAAGCAGCATGATACAGTTCTTTTAAGAGCTGGAGTGAGAGAGAGCACAGCCGTGGTATAATGGAAGAAGGTGTGAAATGCAATGGTTTCTTAGTACAGCAAATCATCTTATCTGACCACAGCTTCACAATGTTGGTTCATCAGTAACGTGGGGTGGGTGAGGGGAGGGAGGGGGGGGTTAAGCTTCCAACCACCTCAAGGGGAGAAGTTGTTGATGACAGGCCATTACGGTAGACCGGGTCGTGTTGGTGAGTTGCTCTTTCTGTTCTGGATGATTTTGCTATTTTCCACCGACAAGTCACCTATTCAATTGCTGGTCAGATCCATTAGTACACACACACACGCACGCACATACATACATACATACATACATACATACATACATACATACATACATACATACATACATACATACATACATAAATAAATACCTACATACATACAGTAGAATACAGTATGAGAAACAAAATGGATTAAATCAGGGCGTTGTTATGTGCCGAAAAAACTCGAAATAATAGCATTCACCGAAACATGGATAAACTTAGACCCACGTGAGTTACCTGTCGAATACCATATTAGAGGGTACAAATTATTCCATACTGATTACGGAAGGAGGCGGAGAAGCAGTTTACGTCATGGGTAATCTGAAGTGTGAAATAAATAAGGAAATAAAAACTGGACTGAATACAGAAACAATTTGGATAGACTGAACCGATGGTAGAGAAAAATTAATCGCAGGAGTAATATATAGACCTCCTAATCTCAATAGAGTTAATGAGCGACTTATTTGGGATGAAATGGGCAGGGCATCCAGTCACAGATTGGACCGACCTTGAGACTGTTCAGGACTGTTTCCTAAGTCAACATATAACCGAACCCACACGGGGTAATAATATACGCGATTTAGTTCTGTCAAACAGAGAAAACCTCATCAGTAATGTCGAGGTAGGTAACGAACTAGCCAACAGTGATCATAAACAAGTAAGATTCAAAGTAGAGCGTAATGTCAGTGGCAAGGAAAATTCCATTAAAGTCCCAGATTTCAGAAGGGCAAAATTGGATAGGTTGAAAAGGGAGCTGAGAGAAAGGGCATTACGTTTGGGGTGAATTACAAGACCTATCGCTCATATATCCATCCACCTTATATGTTTGAAGCTATCCACACATACACACACACGATATACAGCAGTCAAATGGATAAAACACTCGCCTCCTGTCCTATGGGTCACTGGTTCGTGCCCCAACTCACCAAGGTGTGACTGGGTACCTAACATTACACTTGCGGGATTGAGAAGTGGTCAAGTTCAGTGCCGGTCACAACTGCTTCCTTGTGTATAGGCTTTGGCTGTATCCGCCCAACAATTAAACAGACCGTCAGACCTATGAAACCCAAAGTATAAAAGTATACAACTAACTAGAGATAAAAATATATAAGAGAAGAAAAAAGTGAAAAAACAAACCCTCAAGAAAAATTACCACGTACTGAAAGTAAAGAATCGGTACAACAGAACAGTAAATTACCTTCTCAATCACTGTAATAATCATACACTGTACTGTAGAGGAGATGATAAACACATCAACATAATTATTGGCTTAAGTGTTAGTATTATTTGCTACTGTGTTATCATGGTGTCAAGGGCTACAAGACTCAGCCCCTCACCACACATCTCCACCAACAGAACACAACATGTTTACCCACAAAGGTCAGGCACCATAATGCGTGCATGAGGAGCCCTCACCAGTGTGTCCACTCACGCCAGTTAAACACCTCAGAGAAAGTGAAGTTTTAAGCTGTCTGTTGTGTGAGGGGATTCCACCCGTGAGAGTGATTTAGAGAAATCTACTTGGCCGCCAGACGCTGTGTGCGCCCAAACTTGACAAGTAAAAAAAAAAATTTGAAAAGCTTAAGTCGTCTTTTAATTACCTGGGGGTAAAATTATATAACATTTAGCTCTAAATGTGTTGGAGATACTCGCTAAGGAACCCCAAAAATATCAATAACTGATGTTGATGTTTACAGAAAAAAAACATTAAAACATCAGCACAACAATGAAGGAAGTGACGGCCGCCATAGTGTTATCTCCTTCAGTGCTTCCAGTAGGAGAAACGAGGCTGGGACGTAGAGGCCGTATAAATATTAGATTCAGGGGCAGTGATGGTGTCAGTGTTGTGGCTCGCACCATACAGTGAGCTGCCTCTGGTAACTTGTGTATGGCAGATTACTGTTACTGGTGTTACGGCCACACAAGCTATACCTATAGTGACACATTGTGGGGCATCCTCTACCATGGCGCATCTTAGGGTAAGTTGGTTCATCTCATTATGTGTGTGTGTGTGTGTGTGTGTGTGTGTGTGTGTGTGTGTGTGTGTGTAATAATAATAATAATAATAAACGGTTTATTAATAGAGTTGCAGCCGGTGGCTGAAAATATACAGACTTACATTTGATTTAGACATAATGATATAATATAAATACATTTACAGGGCTGTACAGTACATAAATCAGGAGTTGTTTATTATTTTAACAATAGATGGGATGGTGCTGTTCTTATATCTATCGGTGCGGGCTCTTATGGGCTAAATTTTGTTGTAATGGTGGACTGAGCGAAGTGGGTGGGGGGCTGCAGGTGGCAGGAGGTGGCGATGACGAGGGTGGTGCAGTAGTTCACTGCCAAACCTTTCCAGTGCTTGGTGGTGGAGGTCACTGAGGGATGGCATTTCCAGGGTGGAGAGAGCGTTGATGTAGCCCGAGTATTCCGCGCCGAGCATGACTCTGCAGGCCCTTTTCTGTACCTTCTCTAGCTGACGTTGTTGGGTGGAGTTGAGAGAAGACGACCAGGCTGGTGACGCATACGTTAGTTTGGGGAGAATAAAGACGTTGTAGATGGTCCTCATCTCTGGCGTGGGTGTCCCAAGTGACCTAAGTCGTCGTAGCATGTAGAGACGGTATGAGGCTACCTTGACTGTGTTATTTACATGGGCCTTCCAGTCAAGTTTGTTGTCTATAGTAACACCCAGGAGTTTGGCAGACTGCACCAGCTGGAGAGGATGGGCACCCACTGTGATTGCTGGGGCTTGCACTGGAGTGGTGGCGGTATTGATGTGCATGACTACGGTTTTGGTGTGGTTGATGGTGACCTTGTTCTCCGTAGTCCATGCCTGTAGCCTGTCCAGGGTGCCTTGTAGCGATGAGTAGTCTGGTGCGGTGTTGTCCACTGAAACCCCCACAGTGCAGTCATCCACGTACTTCCACCTGTGAGGAGTGTCCGATAGAGCGCGCGTGTGTGTGTGTGTGTGTGTGTGCTTCATAGTGTTGGTGTTCATGTCTTCTGTGATCCAATATGACTGTCACGCTGGCAGGTTGAGGATATGAGAACACAACTAATTGGTTCACTACGACACTCAGGATGATGGTGGCCACAAGAGTATCGGGATTGCGGTGAGAACCTACCGAAACTCGATGTGTTCTCTCACCCTCAGTGACGAGACAAAATCCAGTTGCCTAATCCCGTAAATCTGTGAAATACAACACCCATAAACTAAACCTTGCCAACACCAGCTTTATATATTGATGTCTCTACGCTAGAGTATTTAACAAAAAATAACCTGACTAATAATAATAGTAATAATAATAATCAAAAAATAATAATAATAATAAAATAATAAAATAATAATAACAATGATATCACAATAATAATGATAATAATAATGATAATAATAATAATAATAATAATAATAATAATAATAATAATAATAATAATAATAATAATAATAATAATAATAACAGAGTTGTGGGTCCTCCTGCATTAAACCACAAAGTCAACACAGTGCAGTCATTCCCTATCATCCTCATGTTGTTTATTATGCAACGTTACAGAGTGTGTGCTGTGCGGCTTTGGTTCTGGCTCTATCAGCTGGTGTGACCGAAGCTTCACTTGATCCACACCTGAACCACGACCCACTTCACCTCAACCACGACCCACTCCACCTGAACCAAGACCCACTTCACCTGAACCACGACCCACTCCACCTGAACCAAGACCCACTCCACCTGAACCAAGACCCACTTCACCTCAACCACGACCCACTCCACCTGAACCAAGAACCACTCCACCTGAACCAAGAACCACTCCACCTAACACAACCATTTCCGTATGTCCAAGAGGAAACGAACCCACCATATTTGTATGTCCCACTCAGCCATACCTACCAAGTGATTTATGAACCATCGAACCCAACCCACCAACCTCTACATGAACCACTGAACCCAAGCCAACAGATTCAGGAAGGCAACGAAGCTGATCCTTTTGCTCAAGTTCCTGGACCTGTCGAGGTTACTGACACATCGAACCAAGAACCACACCCTCGGGGTTCATATGGTTCAAAAAACCTCATCCCTGAACCACAGTCCCAGGGTTCATATGGTTCAACAGACCTCATCCCTGAATCAGGACCCCAGGGTTCATATGGTTCAACAGACCTCACCCCAGAACCTCGGGGATTAATAGATGCGGGAGACCAGACAGAACTGCAGATATTTAAACAGGAAACACAGTCAATCCAAAGATCACGAAGAGTTTACGGTCTAACGCCCCAAACTAATTATTCCTCTCCCACACAACTTCAACTACCACAGCAACAAGACATTGACGCACCTTACCAGACACTCCAGCCAGTCTACAGTCGTCCAGATGAAGCTCAACTAACACAAGATGACACCGATCCATCATATCAAACCCACCAGCCAGTCTACAGTAGTCCTGACACGTCCCAACAAGGCTACGGTTCTCCTGGTCAACAACAAGCGGGGTCACAGTCTTATGGGAAGGTAAGCTTCAGATATTTCATTTTTTTTTATCTTTTATAACCTGTGCAGTAAGTAGTGATCTGATGGTGCCAAAATATCAAAATTAATAACTTTTTATTGTGATGGTAAGTCTCATTTTCAACACGCATGTATTTGAAGGATGTGGTCCATCTTTGTTTTTTTTTAATAGTATAGTTCGTGGTGAATAACCTAGAGGCGCTCTAGTACAATACAGTAGGTGGTAGTGCCGAGCTGCAAACTCTCAAGTTAGGTGTATCAAGGAGGTGACAAAGCCCTCTATTACTCTTCACTCTGGACAGCAAGATGTTCTTGTTAGAGGAGCACTTCATGTTGCGACAACTTGTTCTGTCTCACTGTACTAAGCCTGGTGTAAATATTAAAATGGGTTCTGGTTGTTATGAATGTTGCTGGTAGCGGCTATTTATATTATAAGGCTAAAATTTGGGGCTTTCTGAATGCCCTCTCGTATTCTAAACACCACACGAAACAGGCCAACAATGTTGTATTATACTCTTGCATTTTGCGTATCACAAAATAAAAACAAATTAGGCTAGACTATACATGGGGTGTTGCGTTTTCAAAATCACAAAACAATAACCTGTCGAAACTATCTGTAAACTTCCTTATACTGTACAACAAGGAACATTATGGATGTTACTTGTCCCGCGTAGTTTGCATGGTTGAAGGATAACACCCACCCATGTTAACCTCTCCTCCCGTGGCTACGTCAGGACTCAGGGACGCCCTACAGGTTCTCCTACACGGTGAACGACCCCAGTCACGGCGCTCACTACGGCAGGCAGGAGCACAGTGACGGTAACGAGGTGAACGGCCAATACTTCGTTCTTCTGCCCGATGGTCGGCATCAGGTGGGTCAACTGGCATTAGAATTAAGGGCCATTAGGATAAGGGTCCACTCGGTCTCTGGGCCATTAGAATTAGGACCCACTAGGTCTCTGGGCCATTAGAATTAGGACCCACTAGGTCTCTGGGCCATTAGAATTAGGACCCACTAGGTCTCTGGGCCATTAGAATTAGGACCCACTAGGTCTCTGGGTCTATAGCATTAGAACAAAAATCTTTATGGATAGGTTAGGTTAGGGCCTATTAGGACTGGGGGCCATTAGGCCAATCCCATTAAAAAACTAGAATCGCATCACTCTTCCTCGTGTTCTAAATATGTCCACGTAAAAAATATTAAATTATTCCTCAAATACCATAATAATTCTCATGTATATAATCTTCCCTTCCCTCCAAAAGACAAGTAAAGGTAAAGGCAAATTACAGTATATTCAGTTCTATACACAGGTTATATCCATTTTCTATACACATGCAAATATAACCATCTGAAAATCTGAGTAAATCTATGTGGATAAATCTATTTGTTATAAATTCTTGCATGCTTCACTTATGTTGCATCATTTTCTCTTCTTATTTACCTCTTCTCCCTTCCCTTTCACTTTCTACACCGTGTCTCTCCCCCACATCACGTTGGGGAGGAGTGAAGATAAATGACATAGATGTTTACGGTTACTTTGTGTATATTTCTTCCAGGTTGTGCAGTACCACGCTGATGACAAGACCGGGTACTCTGTTACCGTGCGGTACCTGAGTGGTGATGGTGGTGGTGGTGGTGGTGGTGGTCAGTACCCAGAGAATGGTAGTGGTAGTGGTAGTCAGTACCCACAGAATGGTGGTGGTCAACAGTACCCAAAGAATGGTGGTGGTGGTACCCTAGAATGGTGGTGGTAGTCAACAGTACCCACAGAATGTGGTGGTGGTGGTGGTGGTGGTCAGTACCACAGAATGGTGGTGGTGGTGGTGGTAGTCAGTACCCACAGAATGGTGGTGGTGGTGAGTAGTCAGTACCCACAGAATGGTGGTGGTGGTCAGTACCCACAGAAGGGTGGTGGTGGTGGTGAAATAGCACCCACAGAATGGTGGTGGTAGTCAACAGTACCCACAGAATGGTGGTGGTGGTGGTGTGAGTCAGTACCCACTAGTGGTGAATGGTGGTGGTGGTCAGGCCCACAGAATGGTGGTGGTGGTGGTGGTATCAGTACCACAGAAGGTGATGGTGGTGGTGGGTGGTGGTGGTGGTCAGGCCACAGAATGGTGGTGGTGGTGGTGGTAGCTTACCCACAGAATGGTGGTGGTGGTGGTGGTAGAAGTACCCACAGATGGTGGTGGTGGTGGTAGTCCAGTACCCACAGAATGGTGGTGGTGGTCACAGTACCCACAGAATGGTGGTGGTGGTGGTGGTAGTCAGTACCCACAGAATGGTGGTGGTGGTGGTGGTAGTCAGTATCCACAGAATGGTGGTGGTGGTGGTGGTCAACAGTACCCACAGAATGGTGGTGGTGGTCAACAAGTACCCACAGAATGGTGGTGGTGGTCAACAGTACCCACAGAATGGTGGTGGTGGTGGTAGTCAGTACCCACAGAATGGTGGTGGTGGTCAACAGTACAGAATGGTGGTGGTGGTCAACAGTACCCACAGAATGGTGGTGGTGGTGGTAGTCAGTACCCAGAGAATGGTGGTGGTGGTGGTGTCAGTACCCACAGAATGGTGGTGGTCAACAGTACCACCACAGAATGGTGGTGGTGGTCAGCAGCCCACAGAATGGTGGTGGTGTCAACAGCCCACAGAATGGTGGTGGTGGTGGTAGTGGTACCAGAATGGTGGTGGTGGTGGTAGTCAGAGAATGGTGGTGGTGGTGGTGGTCAGTACCTATGGTCAGCACCCACAGAATGGTGGTGGTGGTCAACAGTACCCACAGAATCAGTGGAGGTGGTGGTGGTGGTGGTCAGCGTACCTACAGAATGGTGGTGGTGGTGGTGGTAGTCAGTACCCACAGAATGGTGGTGGTGGTCAACAGTACCCTCAGAATGGTGGTGGTGGTGGTGGTAGCAGTATCCACAGAATGGTGGTAGTCAACAGTACCACAGAATGGTGGTGGTGGTGGTGGTGGTCAACAGTACCCACAGAATGGTGGTGGTGGTGGTCAACCGTACCCACAGAATGGTGGTGGTGGTGGTGGTCAACAGTACCCACAGAATGGTGGTGGTGGTGGTCAACCGTACCCACAGAATGGTGGTGGTGGTGGTGGTGGTCAACAGCACCCACAGAATACCTGAAGTAATATCATTAGTTGATTAATGGGTCGTGATGCCACATCAATAAATTTCACAGCCATATTTTTAATTTCCAGTTAAATTATAGAAAGAAATGGCCGTAAATTTGCCGGTGTGGCGTTGCAACTGACTCAGCAAGCAAAACCTAATCACGTTCCAGATATTAAAATAACTGCTGAGGGCGATAAGTGGGCAGAGCTTATTATAAGTCATTTCCTGTAACTCTCTCTTCAGCATAACCCCATAACATAACAAGAACACATGCGCCAAGAGATGCCCACTTGTAATTTTAGTGACTTGTTGAATAGATTATTAATCCAACGTCATGACTCGACCCTTCTGCTCACACGTCGAGAAGCGTGTATGATGACAAGCAGATACTCCCCAAACATGCAGAGTTTACATCATTAACATTACGAAACCCCAAGTGACAAAGTTCTCAGCACTTACATTTACGTGTGTACCGTCCTCTGATCTTGTAATGCATAATATGAGGTGGACTGTGGTGCACTGGTTACCTATACTCGTCTTGTAATGGTGTGGTCCAGGATTCGATTTTCGGACGGAGTGGGAATCTGGCAAGTTCCTGAGCCCCAACAGACGCCTGGATGTGCACTGGTATAGAACAGCTCCGTAACTATGGTCGTGGTAACATCTGCAACTTCAACGACGGTAACCCACTACGGTAACTAACTACGGTAACCAACGACGGTAACCAACGACGGTAACCAACGACGGTAACCCACTACGGTAACTAACTACGGTAACCAACTACGGTAACCAACCTCGGCCGGAAGAGACAACCACTGATGAACACCTACTAAACAGCACCAGGGTGAACCTTTATACTTTAATTAGTATTTATAGTTTCCATTCATTTGTTTGTGAATATCTGAATGTTCTGTTTTACTTTAATAATATATATGTGTATGTGTGTGTGTGTGTGTGTGTGTGTGTGTGTGTGTGTGTGTGTGTGTGTGTGTGTGTGTGTGTGTGTGTGTGTGTGTGTGTGTGTGTGTGTGTGTGTGTGTGTGTGTGTGTGTGTGTGTGTGTGTGTACAGTATATAGTCAGTCTACTTTGATGTTCTTCACTGTAAATAAAGCCTTTGACGCGTTCGTGATGTTTCTATGTATTTCTTCCTAACATACCAATACATACACGTGTCCACCATCACATACATAATACATACATGTGTCCACCATCACATACATAATACATACACGTGTCCACTATACATAGAATACATACACGTGTGAAATACATACACGTGTCCACATCACATAGATAATACATACATCCACCACCACAATACATACACGTGTCCACTATCACATAGATAATACATACACGTGTCCACCACCACAATACATACATACACGTGACCACCATCACATACATAATACATACACGTGTCCACTACCACATAGATAATACATACACGTGTCCACTACCACATACATAATACATACACGTATCCACCATCACAACCATAATACATACACGTGACCACCATCACATACATAATACATACACGTGTCCACTACCACATACATAATACATACACGTGTCCACTACCACATACATAATACATACACGTATCCACCATCACAACCATAATACATACACGTGTCCACCATCACAATACATACACGTATCCACCCTCACATACATAATACACAGCTGTGCAAAAATAAATAAATAAATAAATCCTCCGACAAACGATACGGAAACTAAGGCATATTTTTCCCATAAAAAAGATTAAACTCAGTATCAAGCGCCCATAAAATGCAATAATCATCACCAGTAATAAGTAAGATTTATTAATACTCTCCTGACTGACTTTAAATTAGATTTCCTACACGCGGTACTTCAAACGTCAGTAACCGCCGCCTCCCATTCCACCCACACACATAAACTCCCTCACAATCTACTTTCACTGAGTACTGAAAAACCAGTTTATACTTTCTTTATATATATATATATATATATATATATATATATATATATATATATATATATATATATATATATATATATATATATATATATATATATATATATATATATATAGTCATAGGTGCGTGATCAGGCATATATGATATACTCACCCTGAAGATGTGAATTATAGGAATATATATATATATATATATATATATATACCTTTCTCTCTACTGCCCAAACCCTATATAACCTAGCTTAACGTAACCTAATTAAAATTACCCTCACTTAACCAACCTAAACTAATTTAACCCAATTAAAACTAATCTACAATCTACATTACCCTAACTTGTCCAGGTAGCATTAATCTTCAGGTGAAATATGCTGGGGTGTCTAATCTGCAGGTGAACCGTAATTATTTTAACACGATAGTATTTGGTACACTATCTTAACATGTTATCTCTGCCCCACCAGCTGACCAAAGATGACTGGTGGTGCGGCAAAAGTTGTTTGTCATGGTCTCTAAAGGCATCATCCGTGATATTTAACATGCATATTTGACTGAGATTCTTGAACAAACTATTACAACTTTCCTCAACGCGAAATATTCTTAACCGTCAGAAAGTTACAGACAATTCTATATAATTAGACGCCATATTTTCTAACTGGAAATAGTTGGGTATAAAAAGTCTTCGTAAATAAAAAAAATAAAAAATAAATTATTTATATAATAAAAAATAAGTAAAAATCACCCATTTTTTTATATTATATATTGTGATATAAAAGATATATCACCTGATCTATTTTATCATCTCCCATCGTCACACTAACAACATGGCAACTCTGGTACTCATAATAGTTGCCAGTTATTTACATTGTTTTGATTTTACTAGAAATGTGATATTTTATGAATGAAAAAGGAGTAAGTAGAAGCCAATACTTGCAGAGATGGTAATAATGCAATAGTAACAACACTGGATCAGCGTCGACTTAGCTTTAGTACAGTGCAGTATGTATTAAAGACCATACGTAAACATGTCCTCTCTATGTTTAAATCTACGACGTAAGATTCTAAACAGAATTCATGTCTGCATTGTGTACTTTCATAGCGATCTGAAACACGGTATCCTGCACAACACATCAACATCATGATATCTGACACAACAGTACGCAATAAATTAAGACTTCATGATGATTTTTGAGGGGCGAAAATTTCATCGGCTTACAGAGAGTTGTTGCCCAGCCTGAACATAATATAAAATGAAGTTCACAGCGCATATTACACACAACGATGAGAAACTATGATAAACTTGAGAACGCATGAGAATATTGCCAAGTTAGTGCTATACTTGTTAAGTTTTCTATGGCACGTGATGATTATTCTTAATTTCTATTATTTTCTTCCTGCATCTAGTTAATTTCTCTGTTTATCCTTTTTATTTATCTATATACAGTATATATTTGGTGTTAAGTTATACGGTGGGGAACAGGTTGTTTGCAAGTGTTGAGTAGAGAGAGCTGGTTG